GACTCTAACGATTGAGACAGCCGGCCCGTTTGATTGAGGCCCAGACCTCTGTTCTTTCTCATGCTCTCACCTCCCACAGGAATGATGGCAACGTGGCCAGAGGTGAAAGGCAAATCCAGGAATCATACTGAAATGCAAGCAATGCAGAGGGAACTCCTTCCCACATCTGAAGAAAGGAGGGTTCTCACAGAAACAAGGCAAACGATGAGGGGATAGGAACGCGTGTTCAGCTCAGAAACAGGACATGATACATAGAATTTTACTGCAGCTCTGGCTGGAGCATATGGTATAAGAGGAAGAAATACAAGTCTTTAGAAAGAAATGCACTTTGTGCTGTCAGCTAGAAGCGGTAGATTCACGTGGGAGGGATGGCTAGGCCCCAAGGTAAGGAGAGGGAGCTGTCTTCTCTCTTTCCCGCTCCAAAGACTACATGAATTTTGGATTATCTGTGTATCTACTCCCAATTCACTGACTCTGGTATTAAGAGCAGACTGAAATTTGTTTAGAATTCTACTTAGCTAGAAAAGTTTTTTGAATGAGACTGAAGTTTAGAATTCTGTTTAGCTAGAAAAGCCAGAAAAGCTTTTTGTGAATGATGCAAGGATGACTACCATAACTCCTTTAAAGAGAGAGGCTGGGGGCTTCCCTAGTGGCGCAGTGGTTGAGAGGCCGCCTGCCGATGCAGCGGACGCGAGTTCGTGCCCCGGTCCGGGAAGACCCCACATGCCGCGGAGCGGCTGGGCCCCGTGAGCCATGGCCGCTGAGCCTGCGCGTCCGGAGCCTGTGCTCCGCAACGGGAGAGGCCACAACAGTGAGAGGCCCACGTACCCCACCCCCCAAAAAAAGAGAGAAGCTGGGAAAGAGATGGGAAAGAGAGTGGGAAAGGAGAGGGCGGGCCAGCTGTGAGGGCCCCACCCCCAGGAGGATGCTCCCTGAAAGGAGCCGTCTGTGCATGCCCACCACATCCCTCCTCCGTGAGGCTCTGGCGCCCTGCAGCCACCTGCAGGTTGCACAATGAGGCTCTTCCAATGATTATAAAGAACCCCCAACCCTGTTCCCTTACCCCAGGACTTCTGTAATCTTGAGACCCTAGACTCATCAAAGCTACACTCTGCGGTCCGAAGATCTGTTCACACAGCCGAGGGAAGGCTGGGCAGAAGGCAGCCAGCAGGCTCTCGCACCACCTGCCTCCCCTCCTTCCTCAGTGGCCCCCACGAGGGCACAATCAGGGCTGGGAGGCTTCATGAGCCCCCCTTGGCCCTCTGGGATGTGAAGAGTCAGCAGGGATTCATACCCATCCTGCCGGGACCATCTGTACTCAATTATAAGCCCTTTGGAAGCCAGCAGAGGGCTGTTAAGCTGCCGCTGGTTCTCTATGATTAGCTAGTTCTTGTCTTTTGAATACTGCATATGGTGCAGCCAGCTGCAGAAAGCATTCATGACTCAAAAGCTTTTTTCCCCTCAAAGAGAAAAGTGCTAAGCTGTTATTACTATGGGAAGAAAATAAAAAAGTTGAAAACTCTTACTTTCTGGTTAAGTTCCCTTTCCTACCTTAAAATTCTACCTCTTCCCAGGATTGGGACCATTCCTTTGTCTGTTTTCTACCAGCACTACATAGGTACTTGCTTGCTGAAGATGAGCCTTGGTAAGAAATATCAAGATTGGGTATCATTCCAGCTCAGGTGTTATTATCCGTGGTCCAGTAGACCCTCTTCTCTCCCTTATTTTGTGTGAGTGAGAGACCTGATGTTAAAGCATGCTTTTAATGAAACCACTCCAAAAAGTCAACTCTTTGCAATCAACTCAGGAGCCAGGGCCACTGCCGAGGCTTACCTTCTTTCCCAGGTGCTGAGCCAGGAACAGAAGCAATACTGCTTGGTTCGCACTTGAAACCCTCAGTGTTCTCTGTAGGTGAGAAGCAGTTAGCTGGCTATAAGCTAGCATTAATATCAGTAGGGATGCTTAAAAGAATATGTATTTCTGGGGCTATATCACAGACTCGAAATCCAGGCTCACATGTGAGTGGAGGTCCAGAGAAGATGGAGATTTGAGAGTCTTGTGAATAGTGATAATGAAAGCCACGAATTAGCTACAATTCACAGGGAAAAGAACATGGAAATAGAAGATGGGGGTAATCAGAGTCCCTTCTTCCTCCTATCTCTGAACTAGGCAAATGACTCGTTTCTTTTCTCATAATACACAGGCTCTATGGTAAACACAGCACAAATATGCCAATACCCACAGGGCACTCTATGGATTAAACAGTTCTTTGTAGAGTGGATACATGTATATGTATAACTGATTTGCTTTGCTGTACACCTGAAACTAATGCAACATTGTAAATCAACTATACTCCATTTTAAAAATATATATTAAAAAATGTTCTTTGTAGCATGAGTTTGGCTGGCTTAAGCCTATAAATTTGCAAAACTTTAGGAACCCATCTATATATGGAATGAATAGTTCTACTCTTCATGTTGAGAGAGAAATAAAAATGCTTATTTAAATATCTAGCAGGAAAAGTACCCCAAAAGTGATTTCACTTTTTTTTTTTGATGAGCAATTTTAAGCATGTCCAAGAGGAAGAAAATCTGTACCAATATGGGTTGTTCCACTGAGCCTAATGGGAGCCACATGTCTCACTATGTGAGAAGGGAGTTACAAGTTTGGAAAGGGAGAAAACAAAAGGAACCCTGTGTTGTCAGTCTGAAATTGGAGGTATGGTGTAAATTCATGGTTTTCAATATATGGACACAGAAATAAATTTAGATGTCGTGGGCACATAGGTGTGTGTATACATATACACACATGCAGATATTCCCCAGCTCTGACCACTGAGATGGCCTGGGACCAGTGGCTCCACAATGGTTTTGAGTACACTTAGCACTCAAATCTTCGCTTTGAGATAATTTTCCACTAAAGAAAGCAGGGCTGGAATAGGGAAAGTATAAGACAAACTTGGAATGTCTTATAGTGGCAGAAAATAAAGAAATGCCCAAGTAAAAGGGGGATGTGTTAAGAAGACACAGGAGCCAGCTTGAAGGTGTTCCTGCTGGCCATATCTGAGACCATTTAAGCATCTAAAGAAATAACGATAATAACCAATTACAACTCACTGAATAAAAAAATGAAGAATCCATACTTGTAATATTAATATAAATTAATAAAGGGGGAATGAGTGATTCTATAGTGAAAAAGTCTGGCAAGCACCACCTTAAACAAGTGGTCAGTCAGCGTCATAATGATGGGACAGGTGGAAATCATGCACCGCCTGAAGAGATGCAGCAAGGAAGATGCAGCATCGGTTCTATGCTGCTCCTGCCAAAGATGCATAAACTAAACCTAACCTAACCTAATCTGACAGGAAACACCATCCAAAATAACTGGCCTGTAATCTTCTAAAGCGTCAACGTCTATTACTCAGCCATAAAAAGAAATGAAATTGAGGGCTTCTCTGGTGGCGCAGTGGTTGAGAGTCCATCTGCCGATGCAGGGGACACGGGTTCGTGCCCCAGTCCGGAAAGATCCCACATGCCGTGGAGCGGCTGGGTCCGTGAGCCATGGCCCGTGAGCCATGGCCACTGAGCCTGCGCTCCGCAACGGGAGAGGCCACAGCAGTGAGAGGCATGTGTACCGCAAAAAAAAAAAAAAAAAAAAAAAAAAAAAAAAAACAGATTATAAAAACATATAAAGAAAAAAAAAAAAAAAAAAAAAAAAAGGTTCTGAAGAACCTAGGCGCAGGCTAGGTAGACGCAGATGTAGAGAATGGACTTGAGGACATGGGGAGGGGGAAGGATAAGCTGGGACGAAGGGAGAGAGTGCCATGGATTTATAATATACTACCAAGTGTAAAATAGATAGCTAGTGGGAAGCAGCCGCATAGCACAGGGAGATCAGCTCAGTGCTTTGTGACCACCTAGAGGGGTGGGATAGGGAGGGTGGGAGGGAGACACAAGAGGGAGGAAATATAGGGATATATGTACACGTATAGCTGATTCACTTTGTTATAAAGCAGAAACTAACAGACCATTGTAAAGCAATTATACTCCAATAAAGATGTTAAAAAATTTTTTTAATTTTTAAAAATTAAAAAAATAAAGTGTCAAGGTCAAGAAAGCCAAGAAAAAGCTGAGGTACCATTCAGAATAAAGGCCACTACAGAGGCATGACAACTCAAAGCAGCATGTAACTCTGAACTGCATCCTTTTGCTATAAAGGTTATTATTGGGACATTTGGCAAAATCTGAATGGGGCCCAAGGATTAGTGGCAATTTCCTGATTTGACAGTTGTTTTGAGGTTACACAGAAAAATGTCCTTGTTTACATGAAATACATACCAAATTCAGGAGTGATTTTTAGGAGTGACAGGCCCAGCAACTTGGCAATTTATTTTCAGATGATTCAGGTTCTGAATTTGTAATTTTTCTGTCTGAGAATAGTTCAATTTTTTTTTTTTTTTTTTTTTGGCCATGCTGTGCAGCTTGCAGGATCTTTGTTCCCTGACCAGGAACTGAAACTGGGCCTCGGCAGTGAAAGCACTGAGCCCAAACCACTGGACCACCAGGGAACATCCTAAAAATGTTTTTAAAACTGTAACTTCTTTTCCTTTATGTTATATGACTTAAAAAATGACTATAGCAATGAAGACAGTGATGTTGAAGATGAATTTGCAACATCAAGAATTTCACAAAATTATTTCTTGAAATAAAGTAGAAATTAATGTTATTTTATATAATGTGATTTTTAAGTATATATTTTCACTAAAACATTTAGGAGTTAAAAAAAGATCAGTGAATGAATGTGCTCTTCTAGGTTGAATTAAAATAGAATATTTAAGGTTTAAAAAAGTTTGGCTGGGGAAAAATAACAGTTTTGCAAAACCTGTGTGATCCAAAACTAAGATGATATTCAACAGCAAAGAAGTATTCCAATTTCTCATAACCAGTTCTCACAAGCAAAGAAATGCATGCCTCACTTTAAGAAGGTGTCAAATAGAAACAGGCAAATCTGAAAGAATTTACCAAGTGTAATAAATCAGAGGTGAAGTCACAACAAAGGAATTTATGGCGTACAAAAAAATTCACAAGATTCCTTCTATCAACTTCTCAGAGTCCCATGAGCTCTCCCCTGACCTCTGAAAGATGGGTTTTACCAAAATCTGGTTTACACTGAACTTTTCAGGTATATATGATCTGAAAAGAAAGAAGTATCTGATAAGAACCTGCCTGGTGCTCCTTCCTTGTTGCAGCCCTTCTTTGTGTAAGTGATCAGAATCAGGCCCAAGTGACACAGAACCAAGCATGACATATCACACCAAACACCATTTCCTGTCCAACCAATTCTCATCTCTCTCCAGTAATGAAGAGGTGGACGTTCTTCTTGGACTGCAGCATCTGTGCAGCCCGCTCCACCCCGACCACAGCAGCCAACCTCTGGGCATCGTACTTGGAGTAGAGGACAGTGCAGGTCCAGGCAGCTTCCTGTCCTCTGGTGGTGGCTTGCAGCATGTTACAGACTTCACTGTAGAAGTGGGGATATGTTGGCAGTTCATAGAAAATCAGGTTCCTGATGCCTTTTATTGTGTATCTGTTAGAAGGAGAAAGAGAGGCTATGTCTACATGAGAAATTTTATGGAAAAGCCACTGAAGAGTTTTACAGGGACACAGTCACTCTCGCTGTTTCACGCAAGGAGAAAGACCATGGCACAAATAACACACAGACCAAAAGTTACTCTAATTTGAGCCAGAGGGGCTCATTTTTTGTGACAGCGCATTTGAATTCCTAATGTTTGGCTTAAGATAATGATAAAATGAATTTGCACTTCTTGAGCCTAATCTGAGCAGACTGAGGTAGGGTGGGGAAGAATAGTAGACAAGGATTAGAAATCTGCCGCAGAAAATTTGAAAAGCAGGCATTTCCAATTTAACTATCCTTACTATAATCAGGCAAAACAGTGTTCTATAATGGAGATGAGGTCAGACCAGACCCAGTACATAAAATAAACTGCATAAGCTGTAAATGCACTCCCATTAGTCTTTTCTTGTCATTCTGTAGACATGTTAACTCCATGGCAGATGTCCCAAGTTCACCCATTTACAAAATCCTGCCCAAGGACCCATTAGGCATTATGGGAAGGCAATTAATTTCAACAGCTTCCTCGCTTCTTTCCCTGCTGCACTGGGCTGCATGGTGGCGGGGGGCATGCAGACCCTAGGGACTTGCCTTACGGTTCAGGTTGAGATCAATCATTCCCTCTTGGGCTCCATGACCAAAGATTTTATACGTTGACAAGGTTCTGATTTTTCCTGTTAGACTCTCATACAGGGCTGATGTCAGACTCCCTCAGGAATTTTATTTTATTCATGGACAATAAGTTTTCCTTGTCTTTTTATCCCTTAGCTCATCCTGATCTCTCTGGAGGCCCTCCTCTCCCAAAATATAACTGCAGTCAATTACTTGGTTCATCTTTCCACATCCTCTTTCCATAAAGGAATTTTAATGGCTAATGATGTTGAAAAACACAGTTCTGTCTCAGTAGTTATCAAAACAAACAGAGTTCCATTTCTGCTTAGTATGTAGAAAACTCAAGAGAATACTGCTCCCATGCTAACAAGAAAAAGATAATCTACAACAGTGTTCCTTTTCCTGAGCCTAGACAGCTGATGTCACAGGGAAACCAAGTGAACTGATTCAACGGTGCCCTGGTGTGTGTTTAACAACTGATTCTCAGTGGGGGAGGACAGGTGCTGATTTGAAGCATTTGCCAATTTCTGTGGTGTAAATACTCCATCTCAAGCTACCAGTGTCATGTTGCTGAACTTGGAACTGGGAAGAGATGTGCAACCATACCTTAAGAGCTGGCATGAGCCAGCTTCAGCCCACCACTGACTGAATTCCAAAGAGTGACAAGATTGTCTGAAGAAAGACAGGACATATGAACCACTTCACCTTTGGCAGAGCACAGTGGGGAAGAGGGCAGCTGCTAAGAAAGTGGGTAGGAAGAAAAAAGCTACACTTTTAACAAGTTCTTAAAGGGCAATTATGGGCTTGCATGACAGTTCAGAATCCCTGGGATTCCCGGACACTCCTTTACTTCACAGTCATGAGGGCTTTTCCACAGGTCTCCACTGGGAGCCCTGGAGAGACTGGAGGCAAGGCAGAAGACCTGAGACACCCCAATGGTGGTGCAGACATGAAAACTCACTCTCTTCCCAGAGCCATGTTGTACATGAAGCTAAAGCCTGAAGCCAATGAGAGGGGCAAAGGTCAACTGCCAGGGTGGAGTCAGAAGCAGCAAAACTGTATGCCTTAAGGGAGGGGCATTAACCCCTCACCCCATTCCTCCCCACCACAGGACTTACATCCAGTAAAAAGAGCAGTCTGTCCTGGGGAAAGGGCATGAAGCCTGTTCAGTCCAAGATCCTGCACTGATGTAAGCAGATGTTTGCCACCACCGCAGAGAAGCTGGGAACTCTTTCCCACCAAGACCCCTCGTAGAACAAGGCAGAGGCTGGCCACCATGGAGGGTGGTGTAGGAGCCCTGAGAAAGCGCCAGCTCCAAAGCCCAGGATGGACAGAACCTGCCTGCATCTGAGCTGGACCAGGAGAACACCTGCCCCACTTCAAGCCTTAGGGGAGGAGCGAGCAGGAGCAGCCTGCTGCTGGGGGAGGGGCCCGAGCGTGGGAGAGGCTCTCCCTTGGCACAGGGGTGCAGGGCATGGTGAAAGCTGAGAGGGGAGCAGGACACTGAGACAAGGCCCTCCGGCACCGGGCCCCACAGTGGGCCACTGTCTGCTGGAGGAACTGGCAGTCTGTGGTAAATAGAAGGTAACTATGGTAATAACCAAATCCTAACTAGATTCACACCTGCCACACTAGTGGCCTGACAGAAGAGGTGTCCGGGCCAACTACTTACTCAGGCACTACATTCAACTGACAATTACAAAAAACACAGAAAAGCAAGAAAAAGACATTAAAACCATGAGGTATCATTTTGACTATCAAGTCACTGGAAAAAAGTAGGGTTTTACAGAAATAGGCTAATGGAGTATAAATTATTGTGAGTGTGTATTTTAGCGGGGAGGGGAGAAGATGGGAGCGGCAACACACAGCAAATTTTAAACTGGGTACAGCTTTTGAACAAGTAAGTTTTCCTTTCCAAATTTATCCTAAGGAAATGCCCAGGCAACTATGCCATCAACTACGCATATGGATGCTCTTGGCATTATTGTATATAATAACAGAAAACAACGAGTCAATATGCCCATTAAAAGGAAACTGTCCCATACAATGTAACACTATGCAACCATTAAAAAGGATGCTATACACACCTTAAAGATTACTTATAATTACACAGAAAAGGTATTTTTACAATGTAAAGATTTAGCAGACCTCCTTGACCAAATGATTACATTTAGTATCACCAAAAATGGGATAAACTGACACCTTGGGTCACTTGAGGAGATGCAGGGGGAAGAACACAATATCCTCTATGTAGAATTCTTACTAAAATAATGTTTAAATCTTTGGTCCCTGAACTCTGATGCTCATTGAATCACCTATTTGTTTTTGAAAAATACCTGTAATTGGTCCCCATCCCCAAACACCATGATTTAATTGATACTGAGGTATGACCAGGGCATTCAGATTTTTTTTTTTTTTTTTTTTTTGCGGTATGCGGGCCTCTCACTGTTGTGGCCTCTCCCGTTGTGGAGCACAGGCTCTGGACGCGCAGGCTCAGTGGCCACGGCTCACGGGCCCAGCCGCTCCGTGGCATGTGGGGTCTTCCCAGACCGGGACACGAACCCGTGTCCCCTGCATTGGCAGGCGGGCTCTCAACCACTGCGCCACCAGGGAAGCCCCGGCATTCAGATTTTTAAAAGCTCCCCAAGGGGATTCTAATATGCAGCAAAGTTTGGGAACACTGATCTAAATAATAAGAAAACAGCCAAATCCAGATGTGGGACATTCTACAGGAAACTGGACTGGACTCTTCAAAAAATATCAGTATCACAACAAGGAACAAAGGAAGAGAATTATTCTAGATCAGGGTTTCTTAACCCTGGCACTACTGCCATTTTAAGCCAGGTAATTCTTTGTTGTAAGGGCTGTCCTGTGCACTGTAGGACGTCTAGCAGCACTCAGGCCTTGACCCGCTTGAACCACTAGACCACTAAAATAACCCTCCAATTGTACCAACCAAAAATGTCTCCAGATATTTCCAAATGTCCCTTGGGGAGCAAAACTGCTCCTGCTTGAGAACTGCTAAAATAGACTAAAGAAACATGTCAAGCAAATGCAATGTAGGATTCTTAACTAAATCCTGGATTGGGGGTGGTGGTGGTGAGAAACAGCTGTAATAGTCATTTTGGGAACAACTAGGAAAATTTGCATACAGACTAAATATTAGATGGTATTACTGCAGTAATGTCAAGTGGTATGTTAATGGTGTTGTGGTTAGATAAAAGAATGTTGTTTTTAGGCTCTACAGGCTGAAAGATTTAGGAGTTAATAAGTGTCATGAAGCCTCCCGTAATTTACTCTCAAATGGTTCAGGAAGAAAAAATAAGAGATGTGAGTGGAAAGAGAGAAGGAGAGACAGAGAATGTGGGTGCATGAGAATGTGGCAAAATGCTAACAGCTGGTGGAGTCTAAGTGGAAGGAGTTAGAGATGTTCACTGGGAGAGTCTTACAATGCCTTTGAAATGAAATCTTCCCAAATAAAAAGTTGGAGTGGGGGCAACATATAGTAGAACTACATATATATTAACTTAAAAATACATCCATAACATACAAATATATACCAAAATGCTAACTTGTTTAAGCTTTTTTTAATAAGCACATAAAATATTCAAGATAAAAGAAAAAAAAATCCAAATGTGTCCACTGTGATCCCAATTTTGGTATCCTTTTTAAAATGCCTGTGTCTGTGCACGGGCACATGTTTTTTACATTAAAAAGACAGGAAAGAAATACTCCAAAATGGGTATTTATATCAATAAGATTATAGGTGATCCCTTTTTTTTTTTTTTTTTTTTTGCGGTACGCGGGCCTCTCACTGTTGTGGCCTCTCCCGTTGCGGAGCACAGGCTCCGGACGCGCAAGCTCAAGACGCGCAGGCTCAGCGGCCATGGCTCACGGGCCCAGCCGCTCTGCGGCATGTGGGATCTTCCCGGACAGGGGCACGAACCCGTGTCCCCTGCATCGGCAGGCAGACTCTCAACCACTGTGCCACCAGGGAAGCCCGGTGATCCCATTTTTTTAACCTAGATTTTCTAGGTTCTCTACAATAATTGTGTAATACTCTTATAATGAGAGTATTTTTAAAGCAAAATAAAACAACAAAACCAATTCCAATAGGTATTATATTTAAAAACCAAGAAAATCTCTCTTAGTACCAATTCGTCCACAGTAGAGACTAGGCATCTCCTGGAAATAAGAGAATGTGACCAGAACCCCTTCAGAGGGGCAGTTAGTACCAATTCCCATGATCTTCTGCACCTCTTCCCCTGCCTTCCTCCTCTCCTGTATGTGCTTTGGGTCTTCAGTGACCCCTACAAATATGGCATAACACTGTGACAGGACCTAAAACTAAGGACATTCCAGATGTCTATGTTACCTGACAACTGTTAAAGATAAATGAGGCACCCACAACTGACTCGCAAGGCTGGCTCCTGCATACAGTCTATAAAGACTAGGTCTGTTACTTCTACAACTGGGGTTCTCCCTGGGGCAGGGAACACTCAGAAACACCCCATTAGCGTTTCCCACCTCCAGAAATCCTACCTCCAGAGTTTCTGATTGCCCCCTGCTTAAGAATCCTCCTTCCTGTGCTAACCCACTGATAATGCTCAGAGAAAGAACTGTGAACTGTCCTCCCCTCAGGAGGGCCATCATGACCAAATGCCCATCCCATCCTAAGAATCTACTGGTTTCATTTCCCCAAAGAAAACAAATCCTCAGGTTGAAAGTTTTTTGCTAGCTCACAAACGAACTGCAATATGTCTAACACTGCCTACTTCCATAGAGAATATAAATACAGAATTTTAAAGCTGGATACTAAAGTTTAAAATACATGTACTTTTCCCAAGGTAAAATGAAAAAAATCAAATCACAAAGACACTGCAGATCAAAATACCCATCATCACCTTGGTGACCTCTCAAGCAAAAAAATCTATAGCTGGGAACCTTGAGATAATTGGCAGTTGCAGATTATCTCCATTCAACTTAAACACCCACTAACCTGGTCCAGGGTATAAAGCTAATGGCACGTGTTCGGTTTGTCTTTATAGTGACTTTGGGGACAAAACAGTTTGGTCAATAAATGAACAGTGTAAGACAGGAGACTGTCCTGCCTACTTAAGAGAAAGGGCTCCTTTGACATCATGCCCTCTCCTTGAAAAGCTGCTACTTGAGAGCAGTCCTCATCCCAGCTTAGTTCACACTTGCTACAGGGAAGTCTCCCAATCCATCCACTTCATTTAAGGGACTTGCTTTGATGTATCAAGCTTTTGGAAAACTAAGGGCTCTTTAGACCTGCTGAGTGCAAACTCCCCCAAAATACCATTTCCAACATGAATGAAAACAACGACTCACTGAAACAAAGCAAATAATGATGCCAGCAAGAAGGTATTCGTTAACACTCTTGGGCCAAACAGCCTTGTCTGGGTAGCCAAGAATGAAGCCCAGCAAACACAAATGTAGTCACTCCTCAACTCTCCACTAGCAGATCATCTAGGCAGCAGAATACCCAAAGAAGTCATGTCACGCCAGCTTGCTGCGCTCCAGCAGGCTGCTGGATCCCTCCCTCCCCATCCTGGTAAGGAGAACATTTCGGAGGGACACCATCCTAATATCGGCATAAACTAAAAGGCAATGCAACGCCAAGGTGCATCATCTAATATGTTCCAAAGCCTAGAAGATTCAGGCTTAGATGTTAGGGATTCTCTGAGGAAACGTGCCCCTCATTAGCTTATAATTGAGAATTAATAAAACAGTAAAGTCAGAACTTAAACTCACTGGACATTATTGTGAATCAGGAAAGAAAAGGTTATAGGATGCAATTTCCAGTCTCTCTAGGTAAGAGCTTAGAAGGGGCTTTTACATTTGGCAGCAGAGAGAATTAGCAAAACAATAAAATAACCAAACTCTGGGGGCAGAAAGGGCTGCAACTAATCCAAATAGTAACAGAAGGATCAATATTACTAACACTCTAATTAGAATTAAAAAAAAGAAAAAGAAAAAAAAGGGTCAATACAACTTATTTTGTCAAAGTCACATGGTGGGGAAGCTAAGCAAACCCTGAAGCCCTTAAATATTCAACTCTAAGCCCCTCACCTTTTGCTTCTCATAAACTTCAAGGAGCCCCTTAGTCCTGGTTCTCCTTGGTGCAGAAGTTGTGTGTACACTGCCTCAGGACAAATGAGAACTTTCTGAACACTGACACTGTACTCAACTTCCATCTCCACAGACCACACAGTCCCCAATGTTTCATCTGTGCTTCTGTGACAGGTTCCTCCCTTTCCTGTATTCAGCTGAGAGCTGCTCAACTCTGTAATGTCTTTCTTGAGGGGTATACCCACAGCTACAGGAGGTACCCTAAGTATGGACCCACTCCAGATCTATATACAGGTTATGCTGTAGTCACTCATTCGTTTCTACCACCTTTTCCGACAATGCCCATTTTGGAAGAAAACCAACCAACCAATCAAGAAAAGTCTGTCCAGCCCCCCAGACTCTGGCTTGTCTGCAGGAGGTGAAGCAAGGGAGGACTTTATAACACAGCAAAGCCCACCATGCACTTGGAAGCAGGCCCTCCAGAGAGGACACTTGAAGCCTGGCCCTACTTTACCTTTTGTAGAAATGGAAGCGCTCTGTGAGGAGCAGGAACTGCTTCTCTCCTTGAAGGAAGAAGTGTCTGGCCCTGGAGACACCAGACTTCTGGGTGTACTCGCAGATATGAGTGAAGTTCAGGTCCTCCTTCTTGAAGTAATTTCGGAGACGCACAAAGTCAAAGTAGGAGGGGACATAGATAAGCGTGTGAGACATGACTGCATCACGATACTGAGGCAAAATCTTGTTGACGAAAAAGTTAAACCTGATTTGGAAAGGCAAAGGGCAAAGTCAGTGGTCTAGAGGTGAGCCATAGTGCCACTGCCAACTGCATGACCCTGGGCAAGTCACAATCTCCTTCTACCTCCCCTAAGAGGCCAACTTGGCCTACCTCATTGCAAAGAGATTATGTAAGGAAAAAACTTGTTAAGCGCATTAAAAAGCAAGTGCTAACACTATTCATCATGAAGAATAGATGTGATGCTGGTATATCCCAGAGAATTACTCTAGGAAGTACATAACTGTATCATTCATTCATTCAGGTGTCAATCAGTCAGTCAACAAATAATTACTGAACACCTACCATGTGTTAAGCACCATTCTGCTACCATGGGTCCCCTGACTAAACACAATGAGAAGACAGGGGAAAATTACATAGAGAATTAGAAAAACAGTTCTTGCCCTGAAGGGCTTAGAATTAAGTTGTTGACATGCGGCATTAAAAAATTAATGTAATTTTAAAATGCCACAGTCTAGGGGAAAGTACCCCTGATTTACTAACCCTGCCACTATCGGAACTAGGACAAGACACCACTTCTCTGGCCTTCAGTGTCCTCCTCTGTCAATGGCATGACTGGATTCAACTATCTCATTTCATTTTGTAAATGGTTAACTAATAAAGCCAACATGGAATACAATTCTAAATTTGAATGCCCAAGTAAAATCCCTCTCTGTGACCCCCAGGGGTCCAACGGGACAGGGGAGGGTACCTGGCATCAATCACTGAAGCTAGGTTTTCAGCTTCCATCCTCTGGAAGACATGTGGGAGCTGCACCAGGACATGACTGATGCAGCCTGTCACCGGGACGTTCCTCACAGCCACCTGCCAGGAGTCAGTGAGAACATTAGGAAGTGAGCTATCCCCATTGTTGACCAAATGCTATCCTCTCCTTCTGCCTCATGACCCAAACAATACACAGTACTTCATGAAAATTCGGAGAAAGAAGGAGAGAACCCACCTGGCCTTGCACATTGACGCAGTACTTGTTGAATACAGAGTTGATCTGGGCATCCTGCAGGGCCCCAAACAGCAGCGTCTGACGATAGTACTTGGACCAATTATTGAGGCTCCACATGCGCACTCGAGAAAAGTCCACCCCATGTGAGTCCAAGGGCAGTAGGTTCATGTGGTTCATCAAATGCTTTGAGCAGAAATAATACTCCATTAATACTTATTGAACACTTACCTGTTGCGTATTGCTAACCTTTCTATAAGCCCATCATCTTATTTAACCCCATGAAGTACATACTATCATCTCCCAAATTACAAGAAAACAGGCTCAGATGGCTGAGTGACTTGCCCATAGTCAAGTGAACAAGAAGAAAAGCTCAAACTGGCCACCTCGTGGATCTTTCAAAAAGGATCAAGATGCTACCTATACAGAACATTTCTTTTAAAGGAAATTCTGAAATGCCACTCTGGTCACTCTATAAGCAACTCAGTTCCAGATTTGGACAAGAAGGGAAATGATATGGAAAACAGAGCTGCTGTCCTACCATGACTTGGTTCCCAACAACGTTAGAAAATTCCCTGAGTGACTACATGTGCCTTTTGCTCAAAATAAAGATGACTCAACCATCGACATGCCTTTTCTATTTTAATCATATTTTTACCTTGTAATGTATATTGAAGGGTCACAAGTACTGTAAGATTATTCCCTATTTTATAAATAAGTACTCCGCTTTATTTGTCCCAAACTTACTCCAAGTTCTGGGGTTGTAGAAAAGGTAAATTCTCACATGCCTTAGAAAAATAAACCTATAGTTCTGTGATGAGGATTGCTCCAAAGCACAATCCTAAACCCCAAAACATTGCAGGGTATGTTGAGAGGGAGAAAAAAAATTATAGCACAAATTACCGTAGGGGGACAAAAACATCTTACATTTCTCTGCAAAGCATCACAAATTAAGAAACCATGAGCAATGTTTTCCCATCTCCACTGAAGAGAAGACCAAACAAAAGAGAACGAGCATAAATAGGAGGAACCATTTTAGATAAAAACATTCCTGGTGAGGAGGAATTTCAACCAACCAACCAACCAACCAACCACACTAAACTGGTCTATTACTAGAAGCAACTTTTAAGGGGAAGAAATCTTTTCTGGAGATTTGAAAATGTTGACAAGAATTTTTATCTTTCTGGATACTTTACTGACCAACTTGTGGGTAGAAGAGGGGACAACATTTCCCATTTTCAAATTGGAAAATGTGGAATATTTCCATTTCCAAGCTGAGTTTTAATCTGGACTTTAATAACCATTTCAGACTCAAACCACTGAGCTTCTTGTCTCTAAATGTTAATGACCAGCATTACCAAGACATGCTCCCAGTTCTGCATCAGGTAAATGTCAGCTTGATCAATGATGAGAAGCTCAATAGAAGACAGAAAGTCAAAATCTCTCTTCTTCTCTCCTTCTCCACCAATGATGGTCCTCAAGCCCAGAGGGGAGGCAATGAGGATGTCTGACGAATAGAAGGGGGCATAAAGTCGGATGCTTCTCTGCAGTATTGCCACTCCTATACACAAAACAGCCAAGCACACATCAGTTCATGAGTCACCACCAAGCCATTAGTTTCCACCCTCTCAAACTGCAGCCTCCCCTTGTACCTTCCACATCTTCCCCTTTGCATATAATTGTGCTCGAACTGCTTTAATTATTAAAATCATCATTATCATCCCTCCTTTGCATCTATGGCCCCTCCTAGCTCCCACCCTCTTCTTTTCCTTCACGGGCAAACCTTCCAGAAAATTGTCTCTACTTTAAAATCTCCCACTCACTCCTTAATGCACTGCAATCTGCCTCTGAGTCTCCGGACACGACTGAAATGACTCTTGCTAAGGTCACCAACAGCTCTCAGTTACCAATTCAATGGTACTTTAGTGTTTCTTGCCACGAACGCATAAGCACACCCTCCTTGAAATGTTCTTTTCCTTACCGGTGGTTTCCACGACTTTAACACTTACTTCTCCTATTACTGACCTGGTCCTTATCTATTTTTCCATATTCAAAGAGCTCTTCTACAAATCCCTGGATTCACCCACAAGTTCTCTTTCACTCTACATAAAGCTCTGCATAAATATATTCACTAATTACGGCTTTAACATTATCATCACAAAAATTTATATTTCCTGCCCACATCTCTTTCCTAAGCAACAAGTAGCAGTTTGTAGAGAGCCCAGATCATACGTGAAGGAGATTCACTTGCTAATCGTAAAGCATCTACCAGAGGGGCAGAAGTTGGCTGGGACTCTCTCTGGGGACAGAATGCTGGCAGATGCCATCTTTACAAATTCCCTCTACCTTGATGGCACGGGCGGGTGCCGGTTTTTGTACTCGCACTCTAATTTGCTAACAGTGGTGGTGGGTGAGTACCCCAGTACCCCCTACCCCACTCCCCTGCACTGCTTGTGTGCAGCACTGACAAACATGGCCGACCAGCAGCCACGCCTACCCCATCTCATGCCACTTGCAGGGCACGACCTGAGGCAACAAACGCATGCAGCCCACACAGGGGACACTCCTTGAGCACCAGGCTCAGGCAGATGGGGGTGGGACTGCATTTCTAGACTCCATGGGAGTGAAACAAACAGAGAGAGAGAGTTTATAAGACAACCAAGAACTAGGAAAAAGTTAAAAACACAGTTCATCTCCCACACAGGGCCACTCCTTCAAGACAGGGGGCAATAACTGTTTTGCATAATACATAGAAACAAACACAGAGAGTCAAGCAAAGTGAGAAAGCAGAGGCACATGTTCCAAATGAAGGAACAAGATAAAACCCCAGAAAAAATATTTAATGATAAAGAATTCAAAGTCATTGTCAGAAAGTTGCTCACCAAACTTGGGAGATGAATGAACGAACACGGTGAGAAACTCAAGAAAGAGACAGAAAATATAAGAAAGTTCGAAACAGAACTCACACAGCTGAAGATTATAATAATTGAACTGAAAAATACACTAGAGGGAATCAACAGCAGACTAGATGGTAGAAAAGAACAGATCAGTGACCTGGCAGACAAGGTAGTAGAAATCACCCCAACAGAACAGCAAAGAGAAAAAATATTTTAAAAATATGAGGACAGTTTAAGGGAACTGTGGGACAACAACAAGTGTACTATCATCGGTGTTAAGGGGTCGCAGAAGAAGAGAGAGAAAGGGGTACTAACATCCACATTATAGGGGTCCCAGAAGGAGGACAGAGAGAAAGAAAGGGGCAGAAAACTTATCTGAAGAAATCATGGCTAAAAATGTCCCTAACGTGGTGAAGGAAACAGACATTCAGGTCCAGCAAGCACCAAGAGTCCCAAACAAAATGAACCCAAGGAGATTCATATCAAGACACATTATAATTAAAATGTCAAAAGTCAAAGGTAAAGAGGGAATCTTAAACAGCAAGACAAAAACAACTAATTACAGACAAGGGAATCCCCATAAGAATATCAGCTGATTTTTCATCAGAAACTTTGTGGTCCAGAAGGAGATGGCATGATATGTTCGAATATGCTGAAAGGAAAAAAAAACTTCCAACAAAGAAGGAAGGAAATAATAAAAGCCAGATGAGAAATACTGAATAAATGAAACGGAGACAAAAAAAAAAAGATCAATGAAACTAAGAGCTGGTTCTGTGAAAAGATAAACAAAATTAACAAACCTTTAGCCAGACTCAATAAGAAAAAAAGAGAAGGGGCCCAAATAAAATAAGAAATGAAAGAGAAGTTATAACTGACACTACAGAAATACAAAGTATCATAAGAGACTACTATGAACAATTATACACCAAGTCAGATAACCTACAAGAAATACATAAATTCCTAGAAACACACAATCTTCTAAAACTGAATCATGAAGAAACAGAAAATGTGAATAGATCAATTACTAGTAATGTGATTGAATCAGTAATCAAAAAACTCCCCAAAAACAAAAGACCAGGACCAGAGAGCTTCACTGGTAAATTCTACGAAATATTTAAAGATTTAATACCTATCCTTCTCAAACATATTCCAAAAAACTGAAGAGGCGGAAACACTTCCAAACTCATTTTATGAGGCCAGCATAACCCTGATACTGAAACCAGACAGAAACACCACAAAAAAAGAAATGTACAGGCTACTATGCCTGATAAACATAGATGCAAAAATCCTTGACAAATTATTAGCAAACTGAATCCAACAATACATTAAAAGGACCATACACTATAATCAAGTAGAATTTATTCCAGGGATGCAAGGATGGGTTGACAAAGTGGGTATAGAGGGAATGTATCTCAACATAACAAAGGCATATACGACAAACCCACAGCTAACATCATATTCAGTGGTGAAAAGCTGAAAGCATTTCCTCTAAAATCAGGAACAAGACAAGGATGCACACTTCTGCCACTTTTATTCAACATAGTATTAGAAATCCTAGCTAGAGCAACTAGGCAAGAAAAAGAAATAAAAGATACCCAAATTGGAAAGGAGGAAGTAAAACTGACTGTTTTCAGATGACATGATACTTTATGGAGAAAACCCTAAAGACTCCACCAAAAAACTGTCAGAACTAATAAATAAATTTAGTAATGTTGCAGGATACAAAATTAACAAAAATCTGTTGCATTTATATACATTAATAATGAACTATTAGAAAGAGAAATTAAGAAAACAATCCATTTACAATAGCATCAAAAAGAATAAAATACCTAGAAAAAATCTAACCAAGAAGGTAAAAAACTTGTACTTGGAAAACTACAAGGTATTGATGAAAGAAATTAAAGATGACACAAACATGCAAAAATACACCATGCTCACAGAGTGGAAGATTTAGTACTGTTAAAATGTCCATACTGGACACCAAGGGGGGAAAGTGGTGGTGGGGGTGGGGGTGTGATGAATTGGGAGATTGGGACTGACATGTATATACTAATATGTATTAAATGGACAGTAAGAACCTGCTGTATAAAAAAATAAATAAAATTCAAAAATTCAAAAAAAAAAGTCCATACTACCCAAAGAAATCTACAGATTTAATGCAATCCTTATCAAAATACCCATGACATTTTTCATAAAACTAGAATAATCCTATAATTTGTAGAGAGCTGCAAAGGACCCTGAATAGCCAAACTGATTATGAGAAAGAAGAACAAAGCTGAAGGTATAACACTACCTGATTTTAAACTACACTACAAGTCTACAGTAATCAAAATTGTATGGTAATAGCACAAAAACAGACACAGTTCAACAGAACAGAATAGAGAGCCCAGAAATAAATCCATATTTATATGGTCAATTAATCTATGACAAAGGAGGCAAGAATATACAATGTGGAAAAGACAGTCTCATCAACAAATGATGATGGGAAAACTAGACAGCTATATGCAAAAGAATGAAACTGAACCACTAGCTTACACCATCTACAAAAATCAACTCAAAATGGATTAAAGGGCTTCCTTGGTGGTGCAGTGGTTCAGAGTCCGCCTGCCAATGCAGGGGACACGGGTTTGTGTCCCGGTCCAGGAAGATCCCACATGCTGCAGAGCGGCTAGGCCCATGAGCCATGGCTGCTGAGCCTGCGCGTCCGGAGCCTGTGCTCCGCAATGGGAGAGGCCACAACAGTGAGAGGCCCGCATACTGCTAAAAAAAAAAAAACAAAAAAAACCCAAACAATCCAATTAAAAAATAGCAGGGGACCTGAACAGACATTTTTCCAAAGAAGTTGTACTGATAGCCAACAGTCAAATGTAGAGATGCTCAACATCACTAATCATCAGGGAAATGCAAATCAAAATCACACTGAGAAATCAAAACTACAATGAGGTACCATCTCACACTGGTCAAAATGGCCATCATTAAAATGTCTACAAATAACAAATGCTGGAGAGGGTGTGTAGAGAAGCGAACCCTCCTACACTGTTGGTGGGAATGTAAGTTGGTGCAGTCACTATGGAAAACAGTATGGAGGTTCCTCGGAAAACTAAAAATATAATTACCATACGATCCAGCAATCCCACTCCTGGGCATATATCTGTACAAAACTATAATTCAAAAAGATACATGCACCCCTATGTTCATAGCAGCACTATTCACAATAGCCAAGACATGGAAACAACCTAAATGTCCATTGACAGATGAATGGATAAAGATGTGATACATATATACAATGGAATACTATTCAGCCATAAAAAAGAACAAAATAATGCCATTTGGCAGCAACATGGATGCAACTACAGATTATCTACTAAGAGGAGTCAGTCAGAAAGAGAAAGACAAATACCATATGATATCACTTATATATGAAATCTAAAATATGGCACAAATGAACCTATCTACAAAATAGAAACAGACTCACAGACCTGTGGTTGCCAAGGTCAGGGGTGAGGAGAGAGAGATGGACTGACAGTCTGGGGTTAGTTGATGCAAACTATTACATTTAGAATGGGTAAACAACAAGGTCCTACTGTATAGCACAGGGAACTATATCCAATCTCCTGGGATATGCCATAATGCAAAAGAATATAAAAAAGGATGTATATATGTGTATAACTGAGTCACTGCCATACAGCAGAAATTAGCACAACATCGTAAATCAACTATACCTACTCCAATTAAAAAAAAAAAAGAAGAAGAATGTATCAGGTGGCTAGTAAGTGCTGTGATCAAAATGAAATAATATAAAATGATAGGCTGTGATTTTGGAGTTATAAATTCTTACAGCCACCACGTACTTTGAGCTGCTATTAACCAAAGCATAGAGAGAAAAAAAACCACAATGAGATATCACCTCAAACCTGTCAGAATAGGTCTTATCAAAAAGACAAGAAATAACAAATGCTGGCAAAGATGTGGAGAAAAGGGAACCCTTGTGCATTGTTAGTGGAAATGTAAATTGGTGCAGCCACCATGGAAAACAGTATGGATGTTCTTCAAAAATTAAAAAAAAAACCACCACACAATTGAGCAATTCAACTTCTGGGTGTTTATCCAAAGGAAAAAAAAAACACTAATTCAAAAAGATATATGCACTCCTACGTTCACTGCAACATTTATAATAGCCAAGATATGGAATAGGGAAGCAGCGTAAGTGTCCACAGATGATGAATGGATAAAGATGTGGTGCGCACACACACACACGCACAATGGACTATTACTCAGCCATAAATGAATGAAATCTTGCCATCTGTGACAACAAGGATAGACCCTGAGGGTATCACAGTAAGTGAAATAAGTCAGACAAAGACAAATATCAATAGCATGTGATTTCACTTAGATGTGGAATCTAAAAAACAAAACAAACAAAAAACCAGACTGATAGATACAGAGAACAGACTGGTGGTTGCTAGAAGGGAGGGCGGGGTTGGAGGGTGGGCAAAATGGATGGGGGAGATCAGGAGGTATAAAACTTCCAGTTATAAAGTGAACAGGTCACAGGGATCCAATGTATGCCATGGGGAATATAGTCAATAATATTGCATTAACTTTGTATGGTGACAAATGGTAACTATACTTGCTGCTGTGATAAGTTTGTAAGGTATAGACATTGAATCACTATGTTGTACACCTGAAGCTAATACTTCAATTATATATCAATTAAACAAAAGACATTTATCAGCTGTTTGTTAGCCACCTGCATATGTTCAAAACTAACCATAAGCTCTCATCCCCTTGCACTGCACACTCCAGCCATGCTACAGCCTCTGAATCTTAGGTCTATTTGGTTTATTCGCCCTGATGCCTCCACACATGCAGTTTCCTGTCTGAAACTTTTTCTCCCACTCTCATTACCCCACTTTGTACCTGGCTAAATCCTACTCAGGTTTCAACTCAGTATGGATGGTACCTCCAACAGAAGGCCTTCCCTAACAGTCCTGTGCCCATTTTGAGTACGGATATTTGCTTTAAATACTTTAAATAGAACACCCACTATCCTCTAACCATAACACATCTCATCCCATACTGTCTGATTTGTCTTAAGGCTGGACTTGTTTAACAGTAACTTTTAATTTCTTATCTCCAGCTTCTTAACAGTGCCTGGCACATAGTAGATGCTTAATAATTGGTAAATGGGCATACGTGACTAAAAATATTTTCCAGGAACTTTTTCAATGTACAGCCAGTCAAGTACATGGGAGCTGAATGACAGACAAGCAAAAATGTGCAAAGCTGGGTGGGAGTCAGTAAGTCCAGAGTGGAGATAATTCAGGTGTGGGCACTCCACATGGCAGGCAGGAGGTAAGTCCATTATGTACAGATGCTCTAGTTTATTCATCTTCCCCAGACTGACCCACCCAGCCCCATCACCTCCAACTCCCCCAAGAACCCCTGTAGCATTGACTGTGAGCTACCAGCTATAGGCATGCTGAGACATTTGTTATAAACATGCATATGCCTTTCATACATGCCTTCACAGACACTCCATCCCATTAGCCACGTATGTACCCCATTAGCCAAGGCAAGACTCTCTCCTGGCAGACGAGTCGTCTCAAATGCATCCTGGTTCTGCTAGGAGGCTGAGTCAGTGACCCTCTGAAAGAATGCCTAATTCCAGGCTTCTAGCTTCCAGCTATGTGCACCTCACACCTCAGGGTCTCAGTTTTGACAAGGAGGAATTACCAGTCCTGAAGTGGTCATCGATGTTGCCGACAAATACAGCTTCATAATCCTCAGGCCTCTTCAGGTTGGGTGGTCTCTCCTCAGGATCTGAGCCATACTCTCCATTAAACCTCTTTTTGTTGCTTACAATTATTTTCTTCTTGCTGTCGCCCTCAAGAAGACTGATGAAGAGCTGTACCACCCGCAAAGCAGCTTCCCGGAATGGCACCACTATCAGCACCTGTGGAGGGAGTGATGGGCAGCCTTGGACGGGCAAGGGGAAGGAAGGACAGCTCAAGGTAAGCCTGCTGAGGACCTAAGGAGCCCTCTGTTCCGCAGCCCCTGGCCAAGGACCACATCCGTGTCACCCTCTTTACACAGGACCTGGCTCAGTACTGAAGGCTGAGCATCTTTCCGACCCACAGCACCATGTCCTATGGACCTCAATCTCATGGCTCCTTGTGGGGGGGCAATTCTTAAGCAGAACGTAGAAATACTTTTTGAGGTTAAGTCAATGCCTTTAACAGAGGTGTCCATTAGCAAAAACCCAAGGGCATAAACACACAAAGCTCTTTCAGGACAAGAAATGTTACTCATTTCTGTCTCCCACAGAACTTAGTTCAGTATTTTGATCCGTAAGACCCAAGGAATATGCTGAACAAATGAATTAGATGTATTAAGTAGAGAATAAAGCTAGTAAGGAAAGGACTAAAATCACTTTTCTAGTACATCTCCTAGTACATTTTTCAGAAATGATGATAAAGGATTTCTGAAATAAGATCATATTTCAATGGGAAATATAGGATTCAGTTTTCCAAACATTTCCAAAAGTGCTTAATTTTAACTGTTGAGGAAAAAAACCAGAAGATGCTTAACAAATGATTAACTTCTAACTACCGCTGTGTAAACAATACAGTCAATGGATATAACCCCAGTCAGATCAGGCAATTCACCAAATTCTGAATGTGATTCATGGGTAATCTACCTCATATACTACTTTGCAATTCTAAATGGAAACAGATAATCTTATTATCCTGATGTTCAAGATTCTGAGGTAGTTTCCCAGAAAGGCAACCAGCACAGCCAGAGGGGTGTACTGATTCAGTTTGGTACAGTGCAGGGATGATGGATCAGTTTTGAAGAGGGCCAAGTTACTGTCCCGGCTGTCACACTAAGTAAGTGTCTAGGCTTTGGTTTCCCCAACTATCAAACAAGAGGGTTGGACTAAGAAATCTCTAAGAGCCATATCAGTATTAAAATCCTATTAAGCTCAATGAGAAGAATCTAAGAAGATGAGGCTTCTTCAATATAGACACAGAGGCTAAGGGGTAAGGGGGTATGGGCGGCACAGTATCTAGCTCCAGGACATCATGAAAAATGTAGACAGAATTAAAAGATGTAAGCCCCCAGTCCACTGGAGCTTAGGCTTATGAGCCCACATAAATGTAACCATCACTTTGAGCAGCAATAATGATACAAAGCAAAAATAGGGATTTTGTTTTCCAAGGTTTACATATTTATGTGGCTTAGTGAAGAGAGTCCTTGGTTCTAGTCCTGTCTCTGCTACTTTTTCCCTGGTTCTCTTTAGCAAGGTCCTCTATGAATCTGGGTCTCTGTCCACAGGTGTAATATGTAGGGATTGAATAAAAGGCTCCTTAAGGTCCCATCCATCTCTGACAATCACAAAGAAGAGATTTATAGTGGAGTGTTACTTATGTAGGATCAGGGTTTATCTTTAAGGAGAGAATTATCATGGAGGTACCTCCTACTCCAGTTTCCAGTTAGATCTGCTGTTAGAGACAGTCCACTGAGCTGTCTGCAGCACTGCTCTGACATTACCTGGCCCATCTAATACGCTCATTCTTGGACTCATTCATTATTCCGATCATTAAAACATCTGAGAGCCTGCTAAGTGCCAGGACCTGTATGTTAGTGCCTTACAGCCTCCTTGAGGGCAAAGTTCTGCTGCTGCCACTCACCTTGGGCCTCGTTAGCCCTTGGTCCCTGAAGTCATCATCATCACCCACCCCAAGTTTCTGGCTTCGGCATCTGCTGTTGTTGGCAAGCACCTGGGCATTGGCTTTGAGGACGTGATTTATCACATGCAGGCAGTACACTTGGCGGATCTCTTCCCCATTCTTCAGGGCAGTCCTTTCTGGGTAGAATAGGTCCCGGTAAGAATTCATAATTAAGAAGAGCTCTTTCTGGAGGGGTGTGAAGGGGCTACTTGAATTTGGGGGGCCAGAGAGGAACTGGCTGTTGGTCTTGATCCAGGTGGATTCCAGAGGCTTCTGGAGATGAAGTGACTTTAAGTCAATGTCCTTTGGGGGTTTAAAGGTTTCCAACTGTTGAAACCTGGATGAAAAGACAAGCTGGCCCAGGATGGGCCACTGTGGGAGAAATGATCAAGAAGTAAGTTAGAAATGAATTACAGTATCTTACATTCATATAGTGCTTTATAATTTACCAAGACCTTTCACAACTTACAGATCCTCTCACTTTATCCTCACAACAACCTTACAAGGTAAACACTATAATGCTCTTCTTGCAGTTTAGGAAATGCTGAGATTCAGAGGTTATAGGATTCAGACAAACAGGGGAGAACAGAGCTAAGGGTTAGAGCCCAAGGTTTCTGACTTTAGAAACCTGGTGAGCTCTTCACTAGATCAGTGGGTCACAACCTGTCCTGTGGACCACACTGTAGGAAGTCAAAATTTACTCTAGACAAAAGAAAAGGGGGCCCGACAGTCAAATAACTTTGGTAAACACCACAAAACCTAAACTCCCTCAGGGAGAGTCACATGCAGATCAGACACTAAAGATTCTGCTGAGTCCTGTAACAAGGACTCTGTTCCACTTCGTCTGACCCAGAGTTTTCCAAATTTACTTGGACATGGAACAAGGTTTTTGTTGTTGGTTTGGATTTTTTTTTTTTTTGAGACATATATTAGAATCGTAAAGAATAATATTTTGTGGAATACCAGTTTGGGAATTTTTGCACTGTAACAAAACTGCTGATCTTAGCAATAAAGAAAGGATGACCTCTGCAATAAAAAAGAATTAACTATTGATATATGCCAACAACTGGGATGAATCTCCAGGGAATTATGCTGAGTGAAAAAAGCCAACCTGTATGATTTTATTTATACAACGCTTTTGAAATAACAAAATTATAGGAATGGAGAACAGATTAGTGGTTACCAAGGGTTAGGAATGGGGGAAGGGAGGTGGGTGTGGTTATAAAATGGCACCAGCGAAGAGGAGGGATCTTTGGTGCTGGAAATGCTCTGTATGTTGACTGTGGTGGTGACCAGGGCAACCTACACGTGATAAAACAGTACAGAACTAAATAACACAAAGGAGCAGGAGCAAAAGTGAGGAAATCTGAATAAGACAGGTAGATTGTATCAGTGGAAATTTCCTACTTGTGATATTGTACTACAGTTTTGTAAGATGCTACCACTGGGGGAAACCGGGCAAAGGGCACATGGGATACCTTTGTATTATTTCTTACAACTGCATCTATAATTATTATCTCAATAAAAATTTCAATGAAACAAGGATGACTAATTCTTATGAATAGCATCAGTGGTGAAAGAAAAAAAATCACTGAAAAAAGAAGCAAAAACTGCTCCATACTGAATAATTTAGGTGTGCACTTATCTCAGATATTTCAAACAAATGAACAGCAGTAGCTACTGTTTGACTGAACACTTTGTACGTATCTTCCAGTAAAATAAACTACTTTATTTTGATGCAGGCATTACTGTCCCCCTCTAACAGATGAGAACAGTGAAGATTAAAAAGGTAGATTAACTTGCCTTAGGTCATGAGACAGCCCCTTGCAGACGTTGGTCTAAACCCTGGTGTACCTGTCTCCAAAGCATTCTTATCTTATTGGTCCCCACCTTCCAGCTTCCCAGTGCCTTTTCTAGCTATGTCTGTGCCTTACTGGGCTCTTCTAGTCTTCCTCTGTCTTGCTCCCTATCAAGCCATCTGCCACGGGTGTGTATCATACATTCAGGGAGACCACTAAAACCCAAGACCACTGTTTTTTCTCCATTTGTGACTGTGATGATGGAACAATGCTTACTTTTAGCTGGTGGGTAGTTTTGGGATTTGTGGCAACAGCCTGGATGTCTTTTTCTTTCAGTTCTTTGTTTACATGTTGTGCAAATGGATCTAATTCAGAAATAAAGAATATTAGAACACTTAGAGCAAATGACAGGGATTTTCCAGTCTTCCCCTGTGAATGACATCCTGTTTTCATGATGTTAACTCATCTTTTTCCCCATCAACTTTCCCCATCATCTATCCCAGTCCAGAGCTTAAAAGTTTCTGACAGGTTCATCTCCCTAAAGCATTTCTTTAATCACATTATTCCCCAGCTCAAAAGCCTCTGAAGAAACTTCTCGGTCTGAAATTCAACATACACCTCTAACTTACCTCTCTAATGTAATTTTTGAATTACATGGCTCTCAAATTCTTCTGCCACTGTGGCTTTCCTTCCTTTAACTGAAAATTCTATCCTCTCGTTCACTGCATTTCTATATATCCAAATAGTATCAGTTGAATGTTACCCCCTATTGTGATAGCTATACCCCCTATAGCTATCACAATAAATAGCTATTTCCCAGGAGCCTACTGTGTCAGGCACAGTTCTGGCTCCAAAGAAGCCATCTCTGGTCCCCTATAGAAAGTCATCACTTTCTCTCAAGTGCCCCACCCTGCCCTCAGTTATCCACACCAACACATATATGGGCATGTCCTACCTCACCTAACTAGACTGCAAGATCCCTGAGGGCAGGTTCCATGTCTGATTTAACCTGCATTGGAAGACAAATATAAATGTTCAACACTCAACTGAGGTGAACAAATGATCAAAATGGTAGGGTCATTGCTCAGGGTCAGTGCTCTTCTCTTCCAGTCCTACTCATGTAAGAAGCAAAGTTAAATGACCCATTCAAGGACCCAGGTAGTAAAACTTCAAATGCAGTGCACCTTATATTAGGACCTAAGATAAAGGTGAACAATAGGAAATAAGAATTCTAGGTGATAATATATCAGTACAGACCAAACAACCAGAGAAACTTTAGGATAGTCAAGCCTCCTAATGTTTCCTCCAGCATTTTTTTTTTTTTAAGTTTTTTTGAGTTCAGAATGCGGTTTGTGCCCAAATTCTACCTGCTACTTCTTCCTCTTGTCTAGAATAGCTAACAGAACCAAAGGAGGATTAAAATTTCAACTTCAATGGCACAGCTGGTTGAAGGATGGCACTGGGACCAAAAAAGGCAGTCAGGACACAGAATGAGACCAACCTGACTTGCCCACCCAGGCACAGGCTAAGACAGAGGACCTGAGAGACAGCAGAGCTCTGCCTCAGCCTACCACAGGCTTGTCTAAGTGACAGTCATGGGGGCAGAGGCACGGTCCAGAGTGTTCTGTATCTCGACTTCGGCGGTGACAATATAGATACTCATATTTGTCAAAACTTATCGAATTACATACTTAAAATGGGCACACCTTGTTGAATGTAATTCATACCTCAATAAAGTTGATTTTAAAGTTAAATTAAAAAGTCACCTATGGGGACTTCCCCAGTGGCACAGTGGTTAAGAATTCGCCTGCCAATGCAGGGGACACGGGTTCGAGCCCTAGTCTGGGAAGATCCCACATGCCGCAGAGCAACTAAGCCTGTGCGTCACAACTACAGAGCCTGCGCTCTAGAGCCCGCGAGCCACAATTACTGAGCCCGCATGTCACAACTGCTGAAGCCCACGTGCCTAGAGCCTGTGCTCCACAACAAGAGAAGCCACCACAGTGAGAAGCCCACGCACTGCCACAAAGACCCAATGCAGCCAAAAATAAAGAGAGAGACTGGGGAGACAGGGTGGAGCTTTCTGGCTTCGGAGGTGCTTCCTGGTAATAAGGACCAATCAGATTAGCCACTGCCGGGTCTCACAAATCTGGAAAATTACTGCTCCAATAAGGAAGAGCAAGTGAAGGATAGAGAGAAAAATGCAAAGTACTCTTCTCATCTTTCTCTCCCTTCCCTGCTTGGGGAAAAAAATCAGAAGTCTTCCCCTGACCCCAGCTGTGGATCATGAGCTTTGGGGAAATGGCCTTCCCTGCCATCATCCTTCAACTGTTTGTTCTCCTGAACAGCCACGCCCACTCCCAACACTGCCTAACCCTGAATAACACAAAAGATCTTGGAGAAGCATTTCTTTCCAGCTCTACATCTAGCTGCTAAACTATCTGTTTCTATTACTGCCCATTCCAATAACAGGAGATTTAACAGGTATTAGACCACAACCACCCATACTAAGTACCAGCTGAATTCAAACATCACGAGCTGTGCTGTGACCTTGTAATGCTTTCAGAGAACAGTTGCCTTCTCTTTCCTCTTCGAGAAAGTTAGTTTCTAGGCTGAAGAGTGACTCATGTTTTGCATCTGTAAACTCCTCTGGGGATTCCTCTGATGTGCCAGGTGGCCCATGCCCATCTTTTCTCTTAGGGTCAGCAGGTAAGGCCGCATCTGCAGTTTTGATGAAACATTTTGTGAAATTATTTACTACTCATAAATATAATTACACTTCTGTTGACAAATGAAATCTAATTCCTTAGGCTATCATTTACTTTTAAGCAAATTCAGGTAGAAGACGTAAGTTTCAAAATTGAGCTTGACTACTGACCCGGTACATGTAAAGATGTTCAAATCAGCTTTGATATAACAAATAACTATAAAAAAATGATTTCGTCATTTCTATCGATGGGGTACTAATTAAATTACCACATATTATTTACAATGGAATATTATGTGATTAAGCTAATGTGAACCCACAGTTACACACGTTATATTATTAAAGAAAAAAAGTAAGTTACAGAAATGTATGAGACCATTACGCACATACACACAAATATATGTATATACTTGTATTCACTCATATATCCACAAAAAAGTAGTCTGGAAGGTTCTATAAAATGTTAAAGGTGTTCACCTCAGGGTGGAGGAGATATACGTTAACTATATTACTCTCTTAAATTTTTACAGTAAATATATATTACTTTTATAATTAAAAAAATGAAACTTTTCATTTTTAAAAACCCAAAACATGAAAGAAAACTGGAAAACCAACAAAATTAAACAAAAAAACCCCTAAGTCTGAGGCAACGATTTTTTTATCCGAGTACAAGTGATAAATTAAAATACTAAGAATGGTGTGTGACACCTTAAAGTATAGAAAAAAATACAGTAAGGCAAATAGGCATTAAGATAATAGGATATAAAAAGTTACCCAGATATATTCAGACAATGGACTACTATTCTAGTAACAGAAAGAAATGAATTACTAATATGAACTATGTGGATGAGTCACAACAACATGAGGAGCCAAAGAAGCCACACGCAAAAGGGTACTTATTGTATGCTTCCATTCATATGAATTTCTAGAATAGGAAACACTAATACATAGTGAAAGGAAGCATGTCAGTGGTTGCCTGATGCCAGGCCTGGGAAACTGACTGTAAAAGGACAAGAAGTAACTTTTTGTAGGTATTGGAAGTGTTCTGTATCTTGACTTTGGCGGTGACAACACAGATGTACACATCTGTCAAAACTTATCAAATTACATACTTAAAATGGGTACACCTTGTTGAATGTAATTCATACCTCAATAAAGTTGATTTTAAATTTAAATTTAAAAGTCACCTATGGGGACTTCCCTGGTGGCGCAGTGGTTAAGAATTCGCCCGCCAATGCAGGGGACGTGGGCTCGAGCCCTAGTCTGGGAAGATCCCACATGCTGCGGAGCAACTAAGCCCGTGCGCCACAACTACAGAGCCTGAGCTCTAGAGCCCACGAGCCATAACTACTGAGCCCGCGTGCCACAACTACTGAAGCCCACGTGCCTAGAGCCCATGCTCCACAACAAGAGAAGCCACCACAGTGAGAAGCTGGCACACTGCAACAAAGACCCAATGCAGCCAAAAATAAATAAATTAATAATAATAATAAAAAAAAATAGTCACCTAGATGTCTGAGTGAGACAGAGTTCCTTCAAGCTTTCAATCCCAGCTCTTCTCTGAAGCCTCCCCTCATTTACCCTGGCAGCACGTGACCACTTTGCATCTCTTTAACACCTTATACTTATCGGTTCCATTCAAATTTGATGCTTGAAAAGTTTTGTATATTTTATGTCTATCTTCCATTAAACTTGGTTCCTCTAGTGGAGGAACAATAATCTCTTTCATAAATTGAGACCATTACAAAAACAGAATTATGTTCCCTTTCCTCTCAATCAGGGGAATTTGAACTAGGATTGATGAAATCCTGGAAATCATAAGCAAAAATGTCATTTCTGCATTTTTATGGCCAGAGGATCCTGTGTTTTCATCAGATTCTTGAAAATATCACAGAGCCCAACAATGTTAAGAATCTCTGCTTTGAATCCATGTGCTTTCACCCAGCTCATACAGTACAAGGCACCATGCCCCTGGGGCAATCTGTCTGTGGTCCCTACAAAGATGATAAACCCACATCAAAGACACTTACTCTTCTGCACGTCAGTAGACGCTACTGCCGTCTCTTCCTCCACACTGATGTCACTATCGCCATCTTCAAGATTCATTTCTGTCTCATCTATAACACTGTCTTCTTCCTCTTCCTCCTCCTCATCTTCCTTGGAAACATCCTTTAATGTGGCAAGTAGTCTGTTGTAACCAGAAACTTGTTCTGGTTCATTCTCTGCTTCACTTTCAGAACTTGAAGTATCTAAACTCTCTGACTAAAAGGAAAATGGGGATTTTAAAAACAAAAATTATATTGTTCTTGTTGCTACCCCACGACTATCAGGCCCACAGTGGAACCAAGTTCAGACTTTTCTAAATAAACACTAGCTTTTCTGCAAATATGTAATCCTATCTATTCAACCAAATCTAGCACCAAATTTGTTTAAAACAGCTAATCTAGCTATGATTCTAGAAGCTCTTCCTCTTCTTTGAACTGCTAATGTTCCACATGGAAAGACAGCAAACTAAACACATGGAGCTTTAGGTTATAAGGCGATCTAACCAATGTGTCAGACATTTGGCACCTTTAAAGGAGCAACAGGAAAACTTACAACAAAAAAGTGTAGTTTATTTTTGAGTCTGTGGTAGTGAAATAAGACCTTTGATGATTTTGCACCCTATTTTATGTTAAGCAAACAAGACGTTCCCTCTTAGGATTCACCAAGAGCCCTCTGGTAAGCTTCCTTAACAGGTTCTAACAGGCTTATCTCTCAGGACAGTTCATTTTAACAGACATCTGCACTTAAAACTAAGCAATATTACTAAAATATAGCTTACATCTAAAATCAAAAAGAGTGGAAATGTAGCCAAACTTTATTACTATATATAATCTTAAAAGTAACAGTCCAGAATCAACTATCATAAAGAAGGTATAAAGCATTACCAGTTGACAAGTCTGTGGTTTTGCTTCCTTTCTGGAAACCCTGAGAAGAAACAGGTAATGTTAAACTTTAACTACTAGCATGTAGCAATTAGGAAAAGTCTAATGATACAACTTTAAATGAACATGGCAGGCTATACCGTTATAAATACATTATATCTATTGTCAAGTTAAAACTCCAAATGCATTTGGACAGGTTTTGTAACAATATGCCAAATAGATAATAATAGACAAATGAAAAAGTCTAACAAGACCACATGACAAATACTACAGTCACACAGTAACAGGCTCTCATCCAAAAGATGGGAAATTTTGGCAAATAAAAGCCCTCGGGGTTCACCTTTTCTAGCAAATTTCTTAAGTAGACTATCCTTCTAACTGTTGATAAAGCAGCTCAAAGTGGTGGGATGAGCGCTAAGATCATAACTGAGAGTCTGGACACTTATAGAGGAACCCACAACTACCCAAACATTAGTTTCTTCATTGTCATTTAATAGATCGGTGATGTCGAGGGTCCCAAGCAATTCTTTTTTTTTTTTTTTAACTTATTTAATTAATTTATTTTTGACTGCTATGGGTCTTCGTTGCTGAGCCCGGGCTTTCTCTAGTTGTGGCGAGCGGGGGTTACTCTTTGTTGCGGTGCGCGGGCTTCTCATTGCGGTGGCTTCTCTTGTTGCGGAGCAGGGGCTCTAGGCTCGCGGGCATCAGTAGTTGCAGCACCCTGGCTCAGTAGTTGTGGCTCGCGGGCTCTAGAGTGCAGGCTCAATAGTTGTGGCGCGCGCACGGGCTTAGTTGCTATGCGGCATGTGGGATCTTCCCGGACCAGGGCTCGAACCCCTGTCCCCTGCGTTGGCAGGCTGATTCTTAACCACTGCGCCACCAGGGAGGCCCCCAAGCAATTCTTTAAAAACATATAAAACGAAAACAAGCTTATAAAATCTCTGCCCAGTCGCCACACAGGAGGCGTGCCGTCTAGCATGAAGCTACTGGCTAAACAAAAGGTAGAAAGACCGGTGAAGAACCCCATCTCAGGCGGGAAGCCGCCAGGATCCCCGGGCGAGCTAGGCCGGCGCCGGGGCAGCGTGGGACGCGGCGGGAGCTGCCCTGTCACTATCCCCGGGGCACCGGCGGACCAAACGCGGGGACACGCGGACTCCCACCGGGAAAGGACGCCGGCAGCGCCGGTCCCAGCCTTGCCTCTCCATACCTGTCATAGAAGGGATGCTCCTCGCCGAAATCCCTTAGATGCTTCTTCTGCTTTTTAGTTAGGGAGTTGAGCAGCTGGCTCTGGCTCCGGCTCCTGCGCTTGCCCATGGGGTAGACGTCAAGTCAGCCAACTTCCAAGAAACGCGTTTTTCACCTGGAAGTAGTCTCGTCAACCCACTCACGCGGGATTTCCGACGGCGCTTTACGGCGGAAGTAGGGTGCCATAAAGCAGACCCGCTTTACGTCGCGCTTGTACGACAGGCGTTAGAACTTCCTGTTTCCCATTCCGCCCCCTAGCGAGGCTCTTTGGAAGCACATGCACGCGTGCGCAGCTTTTCTCCGAGCCCTGTAAGGAAGGCCGGCAGGCAGGCTTCGGGCTTCCCCAGGTGGGTAAAGGGGTGAGTGTACTTTGTGCGTCTGTTTTGGCTGTGAGAATCAGACTGCATAAATGTGTAGTAACCGAGATAGTTGAATGCAGTGCCTTTATATTATGCCATAATACAAATACCAACTAACATTTAAGGCTGCCGGCGCATCTCAGTTCATCCTCACAACAGTAAACAAATAGGCCTTGTTAATAAGCCTGATACTGGAGATGAGAAAGCTGATGCTTACAAAAGGTTACATACACACTAGCAAGAGAGGAGATGGAAACCACAGGCGACCACAGGCTTTTCCCACTAGGATCTGCCACATGCGTGTGCCATGTGAAGAATGGGGACGCAAGGCTGAGATTCCCGCCCTTACCCTACCCCCTCATTTTCTGGAAGTATTGCAAGGGCCTCTGGTAACAAATCTCTTCTGGCATTTTTCATGTTATAAAAGCAAAAACACATCCAGAGAGGTAAAGTGCCTTTCCTAAATCACCCGGAGAGTCGATGTTAGAGAAAGCAGTAAAACTCAGTAAAGTGTCTCAAAACTGAATTGGGGCAAATTGGGATGGAAAACTTTTAAAGGGTAAGTAACTTTTCTATATCTGGATCGTGGTGGTGGTTACACCTTGTATACAATTACCAAAATTAATCAAACTGTACCTTTAAAATGGGTACATTTTAATGCAAGTAAATAATAATCTCATTAAACAAAGAGGAAAAAACAATGCAACTGGACTGAATACTCTAGAGACAGGCAGAGTGTGCAGGGATACTTAAAAACCACAGGATAAACACAGAGACACTTTTTTTCTAATAGTAACTTACAATGTCAATCATAAACCACAGAATTCACCTGAATATTTAAGGTGAAATAGGAGCCATCAAAGACAGTGTTCACTGGCTCTGCTATTAGAGGAGCGTCTGTGAGAGAATTTGAGCTTTGTTCAATACCATGTCACACCTATAGAAGTCGCACTAGAACTATTAAAATCCTATTTTTGTGGTCAGATTCTGGGAGGTTAGGGTGGGGTAGGGAGGCGAGGGGAGGCAGTATCAAGAAAATATGCCAACGGCAGGTAGTGCCAGCAGATGGCCCAAGCCAAGGAACCCATAAACAAACAGACATCTGTCTTCGGTCTAATTTCAGGATAAAAAGTACAGTCACTTACGTCAACAAAAGGCTGTTTGCAAATGTCATCATACATACTAAGGCGCTATGACAATAAAGTCATACAATGTTTTTTCTCCTCCCACCCTATTCCAAGTGCCCCAGCTTCCCTCCCCAGAGGCAACCAGTTTCTTGGTGTTCTTCCAGAGATCTGCTATGAAAAGCTATACTCTTGAGCACTTGATGTGACTCTTTACTCTCTCCTGGCTTCCGTGTCATTGTAGTCCTATGGACAGGTCTAGACTGTTCCCAGGTTCAGACAGAGCTGTGCCCTAGCTCCACCCAACTGATCTCATCAGTGTCTCCCTGAGCCCGCTTCTGAAAATATTTAATTAGCCTTTGACAACGTAAAAGGGGATGCTTTGTGAAATTTTAACCTGAGAGTTCGGAATTTAAACATAGTTTTCATGCCTCCAGTGAAAGTTCTCTTAGTAAAACCCACACAGAGAAGATGCATGTGCCAACTAGTGAAGGCCCTGGGAAAATTGTAATAAAGGCAAAATTTGTTCTTCCCTTTCTTCTTCCCACACTCAGCCCTTCCTTTTCCCTCCTGCAGGGTTTTCTTTGACCTTTGCCCTCAGGGACTCAGTATTTTCAGCGGTAAAAAACAGTCCAGGAAATAATCTTTTATACTAGTTTGTAAAGAGAGGCTGATGAATTAATGTTACTTGGGTATTTTCAATTCGGGGAGACTCCCTAGGATAACGATCTCAAGGGGTGGGAGGGGGGTGGCTGTCCCTTAGGACAAGATGGTCAGAATATTCAGAAAAGTGTTAGTTTTTCTTTATTAAAAACTTTTTCTTTGGAAAATTTCAAGTATATACAAAAGTAGACAAAACAGTATAACACACTCCCATGTTCCCATCCCTCGGCTTCAATGCAAGGCCACCTTGTTTCATTTATATGCCCACCCACTACCCCTAACTCCCGCCCCCGTATTATTTTTGAAGCAAATCCCAGACATTGTATTATTTTATCTGTAAATATTTATTTTTAAATATCTAAAAGATAAGGGTTCTTTCTTTAACATAGCTACAATGGCACTATTTCACCTAAAAAAAAGGTGATAACAATTATTTAATATCATCATATAACCAGTCAGTATTCAGATTTCTGATTGTCTCATAATTGTCGTCTTTTTTTTTTTTTTTTACACTGTTAGTTGAACATGTTCTGCTGTTCTCTGTGTTTCTCATGAATACATTGTGGGATTTAGAACTTTGATCAGATTTCATTATAGCTAATATTTTATACTTCCATCAGGAGGCGTATACCGCCTGGTTGCCTTTCATTTTGTGATGTTACCAGCCATTGGTAGTCAATGTCTAAATTCGTTAATTCATTAGAGGTCACATTCTAATTCTATCATGAGGTGATATTCTATCATTTCTTCTTCACTTACTTGCTGGACTATTTCTATGAAAGCAAGCTTTACCTTCCCCTAAATTTTGCTTACCCAGTGGTGCTGTTTGTATAGGAAAAGCAGAAGAAATGCTTGATTCTCTCCCTTCATTTACTAATTTTCAACACAAAGAGTCAATTCACTAGATCTTCTAATGTTGACCAATCAAGTTTTTTTTTTAATTTTTAGTATCATTATGAACTCATGGAATTATACAAATTGATGTGTTTTAATCCCTTGCAAATATTATTGTGTACATGATTTGAAAGAGCTTATTTGACATATAGTGATGTATTTGAAAAGACAAACTATGTCCTAATACAAACCACAGAAAGTAAACAGGAGTCTATCTGAGATTCTCAACAGAGCAGGAATGGGAAGGTGGGGAAGGAGCACAATTTGAGGATACAGATCAGATGCTGGGGAAGTTTGAGTTTTGAAATTTATGTGATAATATAAGTGATGACAAGGGCACATGTGTTCAAGATATGTTGACAGGGAGCCATAAATAATCCAAAGGTATGACTCTCTAATTATGAAAGCTCCGACACCTTAGCTACTGATTTGGGAAGATTCTGGGGAAGGTGTACCCACACATTTGTCTCCTCCTAGATGCCTCAAATCAGACAGTCTCCTCCACCACATGTATGCATACATGTCTGTATACACCCCAAAGCCATCCAGCCTCTTCCTGAGACTGCTGGCAGAAATCAGTCTCTTGCTACCCGTATAATGAAATGAGCTCGTTTATTCATTAAAAAAAATGTACTAGACACCATGTGCCAGGTGCTGTGCTAGCAGCTGAGGCTGGGGGAAAGAATAAGATCCATTCCAGCCTCTTCAAGGAACTCTCAGCCTCACCCAGGTATGGATAAGTATGCAGACTATTACGATACACTGTGACAAATGCTAAACTGATAGATGCTGGGTGCTAAGAAAGCAGCTCGGTCGGGGTTTTGGTGCTGCTGGGGGTTGGGGGCTGCGGGGGGAAGGTCATCTGCTGCCTTTGAGCGTTTGTCAGTCTGTCACGTTCATTGAACATCGGTATAGAACTTGAGATTAATCTAGATTTTAGGCTGTATGAATTGTTTCAGCTGACTTCATGAACAGCATATGTGTGTGTTCAAGACAGGATATGAAGGATATAGGGCAACAGGAAATTAGAAAGCTGGGTAGTCATCGGATTCCACAGCGTTTATTGTGTAAGGAGCAATGAGCTTTCTAGGTGGAGCATGTTTTAGATAACGAGATTATGTCTGAAAAGAGAAAAGCTTTGTAATGCGTTTCAATGCACTCTACATAACTTGAAAATGTAAAACACTGTTATATATAGTACCTACCCTTTATTCATCTGTACCCAGAAGAACTGCCCATTGTCAAACCCAGAGCCTGGCATAGAGTGACCTGTAATAATTACGTTTCCTCAAGCTTATCAGAGGTTGTTTTATATTAGGCCTAGCCTAAAACTGAAATATTTTATCAGATTATATTCATCTGACTGAGAACAAGGCAAAAATGCTACACTAGAGAGAGGGGATAAAGTTTTACATCCCTCCCTCTAGTGGAATGTTGGTGTAACTACATCCTGTTTTTCACATTTTTCTGGCAGAGGCTTAGCAGGCAAACCTTCATTCATTCATCAAACATTTTCTAAACAGTTACCATGTTCCTGTCATAATGTTAGGCATTAAGGATTTAAAAAGCTCAGACCTCAGGCTTTCCCCTTGAAGACCTTTGGGGAAACAAAGCAATTAACAAATAATTATGTTGTCATGGGCTAGATTAGAAGGGTGTCTACAAAGGGTTTTAGGAACCCAGAAGATAAAGGAGCTCCTCTTGCTGTGGAGGAGAGAGGAAAGGTCATGGGGAGTTGCACAGAGGATGCACTGAGTCAGGGTTTCCTGGGAAAGAAGGTTCCAGGGAGTGGGAGTAGCATGAGCAAGGTGGAAAGATGTGTTTGGAGAACTGTCTGTGGTCCCTGTTGCTGAGGTGGGTGGGTGGGAGTAGAGAGGTTGGAGAGACGGACAGGTGAGGATTCAGCCCACTAAAGGCCTTGCGTGCCTTGCTGGGGCATTGAGGCCCAATCCCATGTAAGGTGAGGAGCCCTTAAAGGATTTCAAGCAAGGGGGTTATGTGAACCGATTTGGACTTTAGCGAAATCACGGTGATGTCTGTATGGGTGACAAGGACATTAAATCTTCCTTTCCGACGCCTTCCTGGAGCAGCTGGTTCGCTACTGA